AATGGGTTATATGTAGTAGGTTTGGGCTTCCCTCCGGCAGTTTCTCTTCTCCACCTCTAGCTATCGTTTTTCCTTGTTTCCTCTTCTCCCAGTCTTGAGATAGCGATGAAAATTCTGTGTAATATGTGTATTTGTGGTTTGGAACAGAAATTATTGAATATAAAGTTGTTGTTTTTTTCTGTTTGTTTTTTCGTGTGTTTTTCGTTCAGCGTCGGGGGCAATTGGGCGGCTGTGATGCCAACAACGGAAATATGGTGCCTTGGCAGAGTGGCGAGAAAAATCAGGTTCTCGTCACGGTTTTTCCTTGTCTCCCGCTTCCCTGTTTTGTCACTGCGGCGCACCAGGCTCCTTTGACGACGCTGCTGTCACTTTACTTACCCACCTGCAGGCCAATCATCTCTTGAACACTCTTTTGTCTCTTTTTTCCTATTTTATCATTTCTCCTTTCTTTCCCTTGACCTTTTCTCACCACCCCCCTCTCTCGAGCTGCTAGCCTGCCATGTTTTCCTTCCGCCGCAAACCCAAGAACGAGCCAGAGTCGCCCCGCATTCGCACCTCGCCGTCGCTCCCAGAGCTCAACGCTCAGGGCATACCATGGCCCGAAGACCTCGTCGACATGAACGCCATCCGCCAGCCCCCAACCATCCCCGAAGCCGTCCCCGTGCAAGGTGCGGCCAAAACCTCTTTCCAAGGGCCTGCTCCCATACCGTTCCATAAACCCTTCCGTCGCCCGTCCATAGGGAAGCCTGACGTCCCAATATCCTCAATCTACATGTCCGGGCAGCCCCCGACCTTTGACCGCAAAATGCCCCCTTTGTCCACGACGAGGTACAGCCAGCGACGCACTCGCATCCCACCCACGTTCAACCTCATGGTGAGTCGTCCATCCCCAGTGTGATTTGTGTGACTTACGGTGGTGGTGGTGGATATGTATTAGGTCGTGGGAGGGAAGGGCACCGGGAAGACATCCCTGTTGCGGCTGTTGCTGGAGACGGCAGACACGTCTCCCAGCGCGACGATGGACCAGAAGGCTGCGGTGGACCGGTTCTTGAAGGGCTCGACGAAGACGACGCAGGCTATCCAGACGGCGTGTGTGGAGATCTGCGAGTCGCGGTTTGACAGGGTGCTGTTCTCCGTCATCGACACTCCCGGACTCGACTTCCAGGAGGGCCGCGAACTCCGGCTTGAGCGACAGGTCAACACCGTCCTCAAGTACATCGACGCCCAGTATGCGGACACGATGAGCGAGGTGCGTGTTTCTTTGGGTTCTGGGTGGCATGCATGGCTGACAATCCTTCTAGGAGTCTAAAGTCATTCGACAGAGCAAAGGCGATCAGCACATTCACCTGTGAGTGTTCCAACCTCCTATCCCGAACCCCCACAGCCCGCAGACTAACCGAAATGAACCTCGACGACGACAGCTGCATCTACATGGTCGACCCTGACTCTATCATGACTGCCGAGGCGCGTAGAGGCTCGTCGTCCTTGCCAACGAAAACGCGATCCGAGACCACGGTCTCAATGCGCACTCCGCCCGACCTTGTGCCCGACACTTCCTCCAACGACGAGTCCGAGGCCGAGGAGGACGACGAGACACTGACGATGTCGCCTGCTGAGATACGGGTCATTCGAAGGCTCGCTGCTCGCGCGAACGTGCTGCCAGTCGTTGCCCGTGCAGACTCGCTGACGGACGAAAAATTGCAGGCGGTGAAAAATGCCAGTGCGTCTCTAGCGGGTTATTGGACGTAAGAGAGGAAGCTAACAAGGTTTTTGCAGTCCGAACAGGCATTGAAGAAGCAAACATCGATTTGGGCGTATTTGGACCCGTGAAGAAGCCTGATCCCGCCGCGACTCCCAAGAGGCAAACCCGTTTCGCCTCGGACGGCGAGACCAACGGAAATGGGCACGGAATCGCCGAGGCGGATGAGACTGGGTCAGAGGACGGGGAGGACGAGGACGAGGAGCGCAAGTCGCGCCCTGTGATCAAGCTTCGTCCAAAGAGGCTCGGACGCGACCTCTCTCGCTCCAGGTCGCGGAGGGATCTCTCGCAGGCAGCTCAGGACGACCGCCGACCCATCTCGCCAGACAATACCGACAAGGAGAGCGTCGCCAACGTCCGCTTCTCCGCCCACATCGTCGCGAAAACCGACGTCAAGAGCCTGATGCCCTTCGCCCTTATCGCCCCAGAGCCCACCAAGCGCCGTCGCCGACAGGCCCCCTCTGACGAGGGCCACCCACCGCCCACCGCGCCCACCTCTCCGAGTGTCGAACCCTCAGAGGACGGACATGACGCGGACACCGTGCCCGCAACCCCAGCCTCAGCCCTAAGTCATCGCCACTTTGGCTTCCTTCAGGGCCCTCCGGACGCCCTGAAGGGTCTCTTCATCCGCAAGTTCAGGTGGGGCACAGTCGATGTGCTTGACCCCAATCATTGCGACTTTGCTGCCTTGAGAACAGCTGTCTTATCTACTCACTTAAAGGTGTGTTTTCCCAAGTCTTTTTTGGGACGATGTTTCTTACTGAATTGGTTGCTAGCTTTTGAAAATTCATACTAAGGAAGTTCTGTACGAGAAGTACAGGACTGAGAAACTTCTGGCGCGGCGCGCAACTCGCCATATCTCTGATGAAGAACGGCAACGATTGTTAGAAGGTATGCAGTACTTCGGATTCTCAATAGCCACAAGAGTCTGACCCTAACTCTCCTTAGATCTTGGATTGTGATTCTGTCTTTCTGCTCATCTACCTGCTTCATTTCACCTTTCGATGTTTCGAGCGAACTTTCAACGATGCTTTATTACCCTCTATGACCATACCCCATCGACCTTCCTTTACTGGTTTGTGCACTAGTTCTATCCTGCTTTGGCATTCACAACACAACACCAACACCATTTATGCTGCCCTTCAGCTTCATTTCTCATTAGGAGGAATTTTACTACGGATCTGAATTTCCCTCTTCTGTTTTCTTACATTTGTACGTACACCCTGATCCAACAAATATATCAGTTCAAATTCCTCTGGATAAAGAGCGCCTGGATTAAATAACTATAGCAAAGCCCGATAGACGATAGCAAGGACGGTTTATAAAGATTTCGGCTGAGCCAGCCTGTCAATTTCCTGTTGTGACAGCCCTTCAAGACGGTTCAGCAGGTAGTCAACCTAGACCATGCGAATCAACAACCCCAGGTACCCTGAATGAATGAGAAGCCATACCTCAACCTCCTTCGTCAACGGGATTATGTAGCTCTCATACAAGTCCACCACCCCATCCACGTCGATCTTGCTAGACGCATTAACGCCTTTCCCCGGACTTAGCCCATTATACGCTGGCGCCTCTCCGTCCGCAGCGATGTCCTGGGCATAGGTCGTCGCCTTTTTGCCTAGCCGTCGCAGCAGCCTCTGCTCGACCTCCGGTTTCGTTATCAACGCCTCAAGCGCCTCCCGATTCCGTTTCTGGATATGAGGGACAAAGGCCGCAGGGTTCTCCTGGAACTTTGACTCGGAGACGAACTTGCCTGTAGACGGAAAGCGAGTACGAGAACAAACGCCGCAGGTTAGATACTTCGACTTTCGGATTTCAGCTCCCATGTGGGGTAAGACGCACCGTAATGCACTCTCTTGCTTATCGACTGCAGAACCTCGACGTCGAGCGTCGCCGCGCTCCCGTAGTTTCCGTCGTCCTCAAACTCCTCGCTCCCCGTGATCCCGTTCGCCCGCTTCTTCGCAGACAGTGCGAGCGTCGCCCGTCGAGTAATCCGGGGCACAATTGCATTGGTGTAGAAGGAGAATATAGATGCGTTCGCGTTGACCTTGTTGGGATAGAGGATGCTTGGGAAGTTGAGGGGTTGCAGGACAGGCTCGGGAAGGTCAGTGGTGAAGGGATATTCATCGGGGCTGGAGGTGGATAAGGGAGGCTTCTTGGTTAGGATGGATGATGCTGGGAGCAGTAGAAAGTAGCTCACCTGGTGTATCTTCGAGCTTTCGCTGGAGGTAGTGGTCGCAAGACCGGACGTCAACACGGACTCTAGGTGTATGGAACTGCGACGCACCATGGAAAGACTCCGTCTCCTTGAGGAACCATTCCAGCCAGCTCCCCTCAAACCCCAGATCGACAAGCTCCTTGAAGGCCCCGCGCTGATAAATGCGGGGGTTGTGCGCAAACTGGGCGCGTTCAATGAGGGAGAAGATGATCGTATCTTCCAGCCGGATGAGCACCGACCGGATCCGATCCAGCGACAGAGGGTCCTCTCCCGTCATGAAGTTGAGCGAGGGCATTCTAGGTCTTGGGTTTGAAGAGACCTTGAGGATAATTGGAAGCACCGAAAAATATTAGGGGCTATGATTGAGATGAGACAGCCGTAGGCGGCAGAACCGAATAAAGCCGGTGCCGTCGCGTCACAATTAAGGCCTAAGGGTTGATAGTGATTGCCTTTCTCTTTGTCGGAAAGGCTTGTCAATCGCGGCAGATGTCAAACTTTTGTTGAGTGAGGAGATAGATAGATAGTAGATTGTGTGTTCATGAGATATTTAGACGTGGATGATCGTCAACATTATTGTGATTCACACGCCGAGAAGGCTACTGTGAAAAAAAAAAAAGTCATGGCCTATTGCTTGCAGAGTATTTGAGAATTACCAGAAGGGTGTAGACGCTGCAGCATTAGAAACAATCTGGATAATCTCTCAGAAATACGCCAACATCGATTAGAAGGGTCCTCTTTTCTAGATCTTGGTTTGCATGTGACGAATTCTCCGTGAAGATGACTAGGACTCATGCAAAAGTCGTTGGGGTTGACCACAGTCCAATCGGAGCTCCTTGAACCCTGAATCGTATGGAGCAATGACACCGAAAGACTCATCCTGCTTTCCAGAAGAAGTTTCCACCCAGCGATTCATACGAGCAAACTGAGCTTGGTTGGCACGTTCGATACATGCAAGTCGAGCAGCCACCCAATTGTCGCGGCCGTGATGGCTTCGACGTCTGTATGGCCACTCAATTGAAGTCCAAACATAACACAAAGAGCCTGGACGCTCTTCGAAGACAGGACTCGTTCGGTTTTCGGAGGTGCTAAGAATATAGAAAGAAGTCTGAGGGATTCATTCCACGGCAGCTTGAGGGGCCCTTCGATTTCTATTCTCCCATCGTGGTCCGTCCGAGCCAAATCCAAAGAAGGCTAACCTCCACGAGCTGACATCAGAAGTGACCGATTCCAAGACCTTATCACGGACGCTTTCGCAGTGTTTCTCCCATGGGCTCGAGGATAAAAGGCCAGAGGAAGAGCAGGGAAAGGAAACCATAAAGAATATCTCATCGTCCTGAGTCGAGCTATGGCCCCAGTCGCTACTACCCAGCAATACGCCCCTTCTGTAGCGGAGGTCCAGAAGTATGATATCCTCGAGGACTACAAGGGCAGCTACCGGTTTGCGCCGATCGAAGAGGCGCAGGTGTCGAGGGCCATGATCAAGCGGTGAGTTGTCGTTGTTGGGAAGACGGATTGCAAGCCTGATACTGGCCAAGGTACTTCAACACCATGTACGAGAGGGCTATCTCGGATGTCGTCATTGTCGGTGCAGGCAGCGCAGGATTATCGTGTGCATATCGCCTCGCAAACAGTCGCCCAGACGTCGGTATATTTCCCGATTCGCATTTGTGCTGGTGCTGATCCTATAATGACACGAACAGCTGAAGATCACCATCATCGAGGCGAACGTTGCCCCAGGAGGCGGAGCGTGGCTAGGAGGACAGCTGATGACGCCCATGGTAAGCGGCAATGACGAGCAATATAGAGCAGACCGAACCGAATGATTTATTGACTTGAAGGTCATCCGAAAACCAGCAGACCGCTTCCTCCGCGAGATAGGCGTCCCGTACGAGGACGAAGGCGCCTTCGTCGTCGTCAAGCACGCCGCACTCTTCACCTCCACTCTGCTGTCCAAGGTGCTCGCCATGGACAACGTCGCATTGATGAATGCGACCGCAGTAGAGGACCTGATCATCGTGAAGGACTTCGAGGGCAAACAGCGCGTCGCAGGCGTCGTCACGAACTGGACGCTCGTCGCGCTGAACCACGACACGCAGTCGTGCATGGACCCAAACACGATCACGGCGCCTGTCGTCATCTCTGCGACAGGCCACGATGGTCCGATGGGGGCGTTCTCTGCGAAGCGCATGGTTAGCGCGGGTTTGCTGAAGGAGTTGGGGAATATGCGGGGATTGGATATGAATCGCGCTGAGCCGGCCATCGTGAACGGCACTCGTGAGGTTACGCCTGGGCTCATCCTGACTGGTAAGTCAGATCGATTCATCACAATGAGAGTGGAAACTCACGTTGAACACCTAGGCATGGAGCTTTCCGAACACGATGGTTCGAACAGAATGGGTCCGACATTTGGTGCCATGATCGCGAGTGGTGTTAAAGCCGCCCAGGAAGCCATGAAAATCTTGGACAGTGCTGAGGTGGTTGGAGGCAAGTTTGTAGGTAGGGTGGCCGCCTAAACATGGTTCAAGATATGAACAAGAGTTAAGGCACGAGCCTGAGTTGAAGCCTGGAAGACAAAAACATACTGAACCACTGTACTTACTTTGTATCCAACAAGCATTCTTCAAAATGAAAGCAATTCCATAGATTATTCGGCTACTCTGGTTGTTTCGACGAGCTTCATGATATAGCGGCTTTAAGTAGAGATTTCACAAAGGTCGTTTGAAGGGAAGAATATTCGGGCCGGTAGCCGGCTACTGCACCATTGTTTGGCTGTAAGCAAACAGAAGTGATTACGTGTGCGCGTTTGGCGCTTAGGGGTCTCCAGTCGCGTCCATCTTCCACGTTTACTCTGTAAATCATGGGTTCACCACCAGAGAATACTCCAATGGAACAAGCACGGATACTAATGTCCCGAAAGGACGCCATCGAAGCCGAGCTGGAAGCCCAATTCTCCATCCTCAAAGCGAACAATGTTACGATGCAAACACCCCTCGTCGACGCTGAAGGCTTCCCACGTGCCGACATCGATATCTTCGCTGTGCGGCCTGCGAGAGTGCGGATAATTGAACTGAGAAATGACTTGGAGGACGTCATGGACCAGATCGCACGGGCATTGGAGGGCATTTACGATCCTACGCTGCAACCTGCCACAACGTCGAGTCAAGACCAGGATCCGTCAACTATCCCGGATCCTCTGACACCGTTTGCGAAGGTGGACAGCGTCGCACCAGGAAGTCCTGCCTCAGCCGCTGTGCGTATTCCCGAACAGAATCTGTTGTTGCGCTACTCATTACCGTTGGACACAGGACATGAAGAAAGGCGATCTGATAGTCAAGTTTGGGAGACTCGACAAGGGCTCATTCACGGAAGGATCTCTCCAACCGTTAGCCGGACTTGTAGCAGACAACGAAGACGTGAGTTAGCAGATTCCAATACATGGCTGTGTGCTAACAAGTGCCTACTGTAATCCTCAGCGCGCCATCGCGATCCGCGTGCTTCGTTCAGGCCAGACAGTATTCTTGACGCTGACACCGCAGAAAAATTGGGGAGGACGAGGGATGTTAGGGTGAGCGAACCATTCATTAGGTGTCCAGCAGGTCATTTGCTAACAGCCTCATTCAGATGTCATATCATTCCGTATTCTTCATAGCAATTTTCAAATAAATGTACAAAATATTGAACTGTAAAACTCCACAAACTCCACAACTTCCGCAATTTCCACTTTACAACTTCGACTTGCCCCTGCCGCCAAACACCAACGCCGAGTTCAGATTGACACGTTCTCCAGAGTCGGTCTTTGCCCTAATAACGGTCTGGATATCAGCTTCGACACCACCCTCACGGACCCATCGCTGGAAGACTTCGATGTCAAGGTCTTTGGTCGGCTCAGAGGTGTTATAGGCCCAGATGGTGTGCTCGAGGAGATAAACACTCGAAGCAATCGCTCCAACAAGCATGAGAGCGGGTCTTGGGATGAGCGGCTTCAGTGGTTGTGAAAAGCATGATGGCAACTCCTCGATTGCTTTCTTCACGATCGCGAGTGTTGGGGAAAGCTTCTGTTGAAGTGCAAAAGGGCAAGAGCCGATGATGGAGTTTGCCCACTATGAGGACGGAAGAGTAAGAACTCAAGGGCCACAGAAGAGACAGCAAAGGCTTACGGAAACAAAGGCTTTTATGGATGCCGGGTCCTGAGCAAATCTAGTCAAGTCAAGAGCCAGGACGACAACGGTGCCCTCCCAAATCCTACAAACCCGAAATAAGAAAAAGAATAAAGGGAATTCTTGCAGTCAAGCGACGTACTTCTCAACGAGAGCATCTCGAATAGACCTCCCGAATCCATTTTCCTCCATGTAGCCAGCACCACCCAACGCACACATAGCTTCTTCCATCCCAACGGACGCCTTCTCTGCTGCGTATGCTTTCGCCACAGGAGTCAGCATCCTGAGCCTGCGGAGCTCGTCCTCAGTAGCACACTTGCATTCTACCTTGCCCAACAATCCAACTACCCCGAAAGCCAGATGGGCGAGCGCACGATAAAGCACGTTCACACTGGCGAGCTGCTCGACATGGGCCGGGGCATCTTTCAACAAGACCGTCCCGCTCCGGATGCTCCGCTGCTTCGCGTACGACGTGGCGATCGCAAGGCACTTGCGGAGGTAGCCCGCCGACCCGACCGCTGACCACAACCTTGTAATGTTCAGCACAGGCGTGATGCTCTTCACGCCCTTGCCCAACTCGCCGACGAGGTAGGCCTCCGCGCCGTCTATGCTAAGCTCCGCAGTGGGTAGGATGTGCGTGCCTATCTTGTTCTTGAGCCGGTGTACGAGGATGTTGTTGCTGATTGGGGACGGGACGGGATCGGTAAGTGCACGGATGAGGGGAAGACGGAGCGGGACGAGAAAGAGGGAGAGCCCGCGGGAGCCTTCTTGGAGCGAGCCAGTGCGTGCGAGGGCGACGGATACTTCGCTGTCGGTCGCGCTGGAGAACCACTTGAAGCCGTTAAGCGTGTATTGGGGGCCGTACTTGCTAGATTTGCCAGAAGAGGTGGCGGTTGTTTCGGTTAGAGAGACGTCCGACCCTCCAGGACGCTGATGGGATGTTGGTTAAGGATACAAATTGTAAAGGTACCGGTACACGACAAACCTCTGTCATCCATTGTCCGGAGGTGAAAGCGACCTTGGGGTCACGGCTACAGACATTCCAGTCAGCTCCGACTCTCCGGCGAAAACGAGACTCACGCACCTAATAAGCCTTGGGAAAACATCCTTCTTCATTTCCTCTGTCCCAAAGAGCTCTATAACCCTCGCCGTCCCGTCCGACATGCTCATCGGGCAGAAAATCTCGTTCGAGTCGCCCACCATCAATAGCATTTTCGAAAACCCATAGACACGACTGTGCTCCTTGTACTTGCGCTCGTAGAAGATGGCTGGGAGGCCTTCGCGTTGGGAGAGGGCCTTGAGCTCACGCCAGCCCTCACTCGTCTGCAGGTCGTCGACCCGACGGCCCCATTGGTCGTATTGGACAAGTGTGGGTGGGAAGCACTTGGCCGAGTCGCTCAGAGCACGGATGGCTGGCGAATGGGATATTGAGAGAGGTAGTGTGGGAGAAATGGGGTACCATACTGGTGACAACGTCCAAGCCAAGGCGTGCAAGGTCTGAATTCACTTCCTGGAACACGCTTGTTGGTTCGAAATCTCAGTTCTACCGTCCCAAGACTCGAAAATGGGCAGCTTACCTCGCAGGTAGGACACGCTTCAGTAAGCTAGGAAGAACCGGGTCTTCCGTATAGGCATTCTCCTCAGAGAAGGGGATCTAGGAGAGAATGACATCAGCTAAGGGACATAAACGTGACCGAACATTTGAACATACTGGCTGGAAACCATCTTCAACGCGCATCGCTGACCGGCAATGTTATTCCTAAACCACGACGAGGAAGAGGGAAGAAGAAACAAGAGTGGACCTGGCCCTCTACCGTCCGTTCTTTATGTGCATGATTATGTCGAGGTCACTTGATCTTCCTGTGCCGGGGACAACATAACCGAGCCCTGACCGAGCCCGAGGGCGAAGCAAAGCTGGAAGCCGGGGAGTTGAGCTTGTGATGAGAGTTGCTGCTCTACGTCGTCCTTCAGACCATGTCGGATGGGCGGCGGGCATCATGACTCATGGAGTCCCCCTTTTCGGCGTGAGACACTTTATACATTTATGGTGAAGGAACCCTTCGGCAGTCTTGGACTCCCAACCGAGCACATTTTCGACAAAATGCAAAACGTTTGAGGTGTCCAAGTCGAAGAGGTTGAACTATATAGACGCGAGTGGAAGCCTGTAGCCTGTATTTTCAACTGAAGTATCGGGTGATTCAGAATCGTAATTCAGATATTTACTGGAGAGGCAAATAGGAAATACTATTCCCGCTTCTGTACTCATTCAGTCTGTAGGAAAACGGATATCCTGAAGTATTTGCGCGTGCATACTATGACGACTTTTTAAAGAGGACCCTCTCTTGGATTCGGGCTGTCGGATAATGTGGTAACTCTTAGGGGCTGTCCGGTTTAAAACAGTGACTGGTATGGAAACCATCAGAGTCCAGACTATACGATTGCCTTTGTCTCCGTCCTATTGAGACCAAAGGGCTTTCTTCTTTATGAAGGTGGGCTCTTCCCAAATCGCTATGTTATGCCACCATAGTCCCCACTGGTACTGGCCACCGGCTGGTGTCATGAACGACAAAGAGGCTTCGACACATAAATGCCGTGACGAAAGCCCACCTGGTCCGCCACCACTCTTTCATCCACCATGTCCGGCGACACCTCCGGCGAGAGGGAGCTAGAATTTGGCCAATGTCTTAAGCTTTTCCTTTCCGAATCCATTGCACCGACAACCGACAAGCTTGACCTCGGACTTCACTGGGACATGCTCAAGTTAGAACCGACTCGAAAAGAACTCCGTGGCATTCCTACTGTCAACGATTACACCATAGTTGGGAGTTACGGGAGGAAAAAATTCCGAAGAGTGCCAGACAACATATTTGTATTTGTCCTTTCTCACCTCACATCGCTATCACTCACCGGGAACGACGTCTTCGTCGTGCTTCCATACCTTCATCCCCGATACCTCGACCACCTCACCATCACTGTCAAAGACACGGACCGGCTAACTCGCCGAGAAGAGGACTACGTTACTTTCGCAAGGTTTCTGGGACTGTATTACTTCCCTCCCATCGTCAATTCTGGCAGTCCACTCTCGACCCTGCAGACTCTCAAAATCTACGACACTGTGATCTCCGACGCGCAGTGGCCAGCATTTCTCTGATGTGCCAGTCAAGTACATCCCCACTGTGCGGCTCTATTTTAAAAATTCCGCTAGACGGGTTGCAAGATATTTGAAGCGGTGGCCAAAGGCGTTTGAGACGCTCGGCGGATATTCTGGGCCCTCTTTTGGGGTGTATTGGGACAGAGATGAGGTCGCCGCGGACAGGAAGTCTTATTTGGGTTGGAATAGAATCCCGGGGACGTTGGACCCTGATCCCAGCTTCGACAGCGCTTTGAGAATTATGTACTTACCGCGAACACGGGAAGTCTGGCTCAGGGACGAGTGTGGAAGGGAATGCAGTTTCATCATCGCCGACGACTTAAGTAGAAACTGAAAGGCTCCTCGGTGCGGACCGTATTTAATATTGCAAACAGAGTACTTCTTTTTTTTGTGAATAAATTGGAAACTTGAATCTAAGTATCATAACACGAAGTGATCGCGGAGTCTCAACGTCATATATATAACCAACAGCCAGGACGCAGTGTTACGGTCGTTGGTCCCCAACGAGAGGACCTGTCATTTTATGGACCGTTGTAGGCCATTTTTGGGCGCCTTGGTAGAGAATCTTTCAACGGGTAAACTGGTTAAGTTTTTGCGACAGTGTCCTTTCGGGGCTAACTATTTCGAGGATATCTGTTGCCAAAATTGGCAAATGCGCGATGGCGCAGCAATGCGGTGGTCGGTTCTGACAGTCGAAGATCAATAAGCGAGAAAACAGACACCTGATAGCTGTTTGGTTGGAGAAAGAACAGCGATGAAACCGTGTATATGACCAATGTCAAAATTAAGGTTGCCAGACAAGTTCTTCCAGCGGCTCCACGTTTTCATTTGGTTGCTTACATTATCAGTCTTGGTCCGCCGAAGTAGAACCTGTACGCCGATTGACTATCCGGCAATAGGGCCCGAATTGCACTCGCAAACTGATACCGCATTACTATTGAACAAGAACTGATACTCGTCTCATCCATCCTTCAAGTCTCTATGGCATTGCACCTAGGTGGAGCCAAATAGACTAATTAACACATCCTCTTTCAACAGTCATGTAGAGACAAGACCAAGGTCTATTGGGGGATCCGCCATCAAAACCAGGCGAAGACATTCATGGGAAACATCTTCATCGTCGGAGGGATTCAGAGAATTCGAAGACGGCCAGGGAAAATCCGTCTGCCGACTGAGGTGCCGCCTGGTATCCATCTCACACTTGAAGAGAGCTTCTGGGATCGCCATAGCAGAGACGGAGACGTAGCATTAATACTAAGTCCTGACCGACCTCTGGCCACAAGATGAACCAAATCCCTGGCGAGCCCTTCGACCTCGCCCTCCCTAATCCGCACACGCCGATGGCGTTCCTGGACCCCCAGCAAACGTTCGAGGCGACATTCGCGGTGTATGTAGCCGTCTGCACGTTCGGTGTGAGTCGAACCCTCTTCGTTCTGGTTATACGAAAAGGTGTTGACGTGGCGCTGCACATGCAGGTATTCATCTGGGAGACGCTCCACGTTCTGAAGGCAGACTATCGGTTGGCATTCAAACAGAAGTTTTTGGTTTCCTCAGCGGTGTACTTTGTGTCAAAGTGAGTAGTTGGCCAACCTCCTGGACGTTGTCAGCTAGATCGCGCCGAATATCGGGTCCAGGATAGCAACCTTTGCCTATCTTCTCAGCAAAAGCATACACTTGAGTAAGTGTCTTTCATGGTGCATATCCCTTACTTCACTAAATATTGTCTTCTACCTGAAGCCACTGAGCTCGATAACTGCGGAAGGGTGAATCAGATCGTGAGCGGGTTCCTCACGGCTTCGCAATCACTCACCGCTCTCCTGTTCTTCTTCCGCGTGAGGCAAGTGTACGACAAGAGCCTCCTCGTAACGGTGCTCTTCCTCTGTACCTGGGCCAGCCTGACAGCGTGCTACGCACTGACGTTTGGCGCGACGGTCAGCATGGGCATCGGGGAGACGAGGTTCTGCAGGACGCAGCAGGTAACACACCCGTTCGCCCAGGTGGGGAGCTGGGCGAGCCTGGTGAATGGGGCGTCGGTTTATGGAGCGATTATATGTCGGCTTGCAGGAGCGGTCCCGTTCGGGACGGGAATGGTCGAAAGAAGAGCACAGAGATTCATAGCTGCATTCTCGCAGCAGGCCCAAGTGTACTATCTGTAAGTCAGCTTCAGGTACTCGTAAATAAGCTCACAATTACTTACCTCGTCTGTTTCAATTGACCAGAATCGCACTCGTCATGAACGCGGCCACCCTCGTCTTCCACTACGCCATCCGCGGTCCTCCAGATTCCTCCTTCCGCATGCTGCTCGTCGCGCCAAACACTGTGGTCCTAAACATCATGGCATGCCGCGTCTACCGAAAGACGACTCTGCACCCCTCTGAGCGCCCGACGGCAGAGCAGTGGTCGAAGATGCTGGACAGCCTCAGGTTGAAGCGTCCGCCATTGACAGAGGTCGACCTGTCGACAGGCAGGTCAGATCTGGCTAGGGTTGACGTCGAGGACCAGACGTTCCATTCAAGAGACGCGCGTAGCTTCGAGGCGAATAAAGCGTCACTCGGGGGTCGGTCGAACCCGGTGGGTGTGGAGGTCACGAAGATAGTAGAGGTGGAATCAATGCGGAGAGAGCCTGATCTAGATGATCAAAGCCATGCGACGACGAGTCCTGGGTACGGGCGTGCATTGTAGTAATAATCAGATAATGGACATTGTTGTATTATTTGCGAGCGATCCAAGTGATGTTGAGCCTGAGGTGGCTCATCGGCTGTTGTCACCCCTTTTACCGGCCCGGCTGACTGTGGGAACACCCCAGAAATTGCCGTCATTGACCGACTCGTTGATTGCTCCTCCCTACCCCAACCTCACGAACGTCCACAACCACGATGGCGGCATGCTTACGATTTACGAAAAGAGTGTGCCCTTTGATTACTTCCCGTAACCTTCTAACTTGTCTGACATAGCTTATCTCCTCTAGGTCTGGCAGTCTTTCGTTCACAACAAAGGTGGGTCTTACCCCTTGCCTGAGGAGGTGGATGTCGTTAGTTGAGGATTGACATCGAAGAGCAGGACATGACGCGCAATGCTTTCCCAACGTAATTGTCTCATTTTTGTGCTTGTCACGTCTATGGAATGGCCTGATAAGAATATCCTGTGCAATAGCTCGTAATCCACCGTGCCGTGCCAGGATCTGTGGAGGTTTCGTTGAAGGTCGAGCAGTATAACAGTGCGTTTCTGACTCATCACGCCACCAAGAAAGAATTTCTAACTGATTCATTCGGCCTTTCGTTCCATCAGCAAACAGAGTCGGGGTGCGTAAATCGACCTCTCATTTCCGACGACACGACGTCTGACGCGCCAACCCGCACCAGACAGGTGCGTCTGCTCGACCCTTCCTCGACCTATCCCACTGGTCCCTGACATATCAAATGCCGCGCTTCCCGAACATGCCAATCCCTCGATGCTGCAACGTGAATTGAACCTCGGAGTAGTCCATGGAGGCCTTGTCCTATCACTCACCGACACCCTCGGTTCGCTGGCTGTCGCGACGCACGGACACTTCATGACAGGTGTGTCGACGGACATCGGGACGTCGTTTGTTCGGCCTGCTGGACGGGTGGGAGATATCCTGCATGCTAAGGCAGTTTTGACGGGCATGGGTGAGTGTCGTGCGTTCATTTTTTTCGCATTTCCGCTGATAGTTGTTTTTTGTGTCCTCAGGGAAGCAGCTCGCTTATACCCGCGTGGATTTCACGAACCCCAGAGGAGAGCTGGTCGCTTATGGATGTATGTTCTTCCGTGCTCCCTTCTTGCTCTCAAGTTGAGTTGATGATGCGCTGGTTAGTTCACACCAAGTATGTTGGCAAGTCGAACTCACATGCAGTATGTACTGTGTTTCATTGCCTGTCTTATGTCTACAATAATTAATCTCATTGTTTTGATTGTGCAGGAAAACGTAAAATTCAGCGAGGACGGCGAGACGGTCATTGAGGGTGTGGACAAGAATCTGGACGTGGATTAAATAAATTCTGATTCTAATGATCGATGACATGGAGCGGACACACTTTCATCGCCACTAGAAGCTATATACCTACTGCCTGCTCTATAGAGTTGTAGAACAATTCATGCCTTCCCGCGAATCGCAGCCGTACAGGAGAAGACTTCCAGCAGGAGGAGAGTCGGTAAATCACCGGGCCGCCCTCGCCATTTGAGTCACCGACTCTGATTTGTGCTCAAGTTCATCATCACTTTCTTCCTGCCACCACCTTCCGTCATCCCTCTCCTTCTCCCTCTCCGTCATCTTTCCATAACCTCCACCATCGCCTTAATTATTGCCTTAGGGGATGGACGAACTCTCCGCACTCCCTCCAGAAACAATGAGCAAGGCGACCAAGCGGCTCTCACGTGCACGACCGGCGTCGTTGCAGCAGTTCCAGTTGAACCAAGGGGTAGGGGTTGGCCAAGGATATGGGAGCCAGGATGGGTATACGAACCCCAGCCCGGTGACAACGCGCCGTGGGGAGTCGCCTAGTTTGAGCGTCGGAGGGTATGAAGGGCAGGTGGTGGACTATGGGCAGGATGGACAGAGCGTTAGCGTTGGGTGAGTGCGAGATCTCAGGCAAATCGCGATGCTAGGACAATCGACTGACAATCCAACTTCTCTTCCTTTCTTCGTCGTCCCCATATCGTATACTACTTAATTGCAGCGACCACCAAAATTACACAGAACACAAACACCCGTATCACCCGCCGCCAGACTCGCCAACGATCCACGCACCCACACCACGGCGACACCTCCTTGACACCTCCGCGAGCCAGCACTGGCTACACACGCCTCCTTTGTCTCCCTCATTATCGGCTATATCCTCTCGCTCGCGCCCCGTCTCACCTCTCGCGTATACACACCACACCGCTGTCTCCACCACCTCTCAGAGTCAAAATCCCTCTGCCAACTACACCTCCAACTACGGCCCCAGCTACGGCTATGCAGGATTCTTGAACGAGCGGGTCCTAGCCTACCAAAAGCAGCAGCAGCTCCTCCAATTCCCCGGGCTCAGCCAGCACCAAGGTTCGAGCTCGACTTCCCTTTCCTCCTCTACCTCCGCCTTCCCTGTCTCCTCGTCGGGTGCGGGCATGGGATCAGCAACGCTCCGGAAACGCCTCTCAACGCAGTCCTTCAGCGCTGGGGGAGGACCGGGCCACTCGAGGAGCTTTAGCGCGCTGCTGGAGCACGAGCAGATGGTGCACCAGAAGCAGCAGCGGAGGGGCTCGGGCTCGAGTGTGCAGGGGAGTGTGAGAGGGGGGTTCGGATTGGGTGTGGGAGGAGGAGGGGTAGGGGTGAAGGAAACGGAGGAGCCTGGGATGGGACGGCGGTGGGTGCGGTGGATGCATAAACGCGGGCTGCGGGCATGGGTCGTCCCTGCGATCCTCGGTGCGGGTGCGCTAGTGCGCTTGGGGATTGGGTTGGGCTCGTATTCCGGTGCGTATTGCCTTCCTTCATCATATACTGTGCCATTCACCTTTATCTACACCATTAATTCATCGGCCATTCCTCTGCAATTAGGCGAGGCCACGCCTCCAATGTACGGTGACTACGAGGCGCAGCGGCACTGGATGGAGCTGACTGTGCACCTCCCGATGCGCGAGTGGTACACGTACGACCTGCAGTACTGGGGCCTCGATTACCCTCCGTTGACCGCGTACGTGTCGTGGATCTGCGGTGTTATGTACGTCTATATTCGTCCCTTTCCCCAGCCCATTCCTCATTTCCAATAGCGCGCACTCCATCGACCCTTCCTGGGTCGCCCTATACGCCTCACGCGGGCTCGAGAGCGCGTCGAGCAAGCTCTTCATGCGCCTCTCCGTGCTCGCGTTCGACACCCTCGTCTACCTGCCCGCCTTGTTAGGGTTCGTTGGGATATGGCATGCCGCGCGATCACCACGCACGAGGGAGGTCGCGCTCCTCACGCTGGTGCTGCAGCCGGCGCTACTGCTGGTGGACTTTGGGCACTTTCAGTATAATTCGGTCATGCTTGGTATGTTTTCTTTTGTTGTTGTTGGAAAATGGGCGTCAGATGATTTATGTGAGGACAGGCTTTACGCTGCTCGCGATGAACGCGTTTGCGAGTGGCGCGGACTTGCTCGGCGCGGTGTTCTTCGTGCTCAGCTTGGGCTTCAAGCAGATGGCACTATACTACGCGCCGGCGGTCGGGTCGTACCTCCTCGCCAAGTGTCTCTATCTCGGACCCAAAGAAGGGTGCGTGAACTCTCCCCATTTGCGGTGGCCTGCAACTTACCTTTTCACTTTGTAATCAGGACACGCCTATTCACCAGCCTCGCGCTAACAACCCTCCTCACCTTCTCCCTCCTCTTCTCCCTTTCACTCCAACCCCTCCTCGCCGGTCCCATTCACCGCACCTTCCCATTCACACGCGGCCTGTTCGAGGACAAGGTCGCGAACTTCTGGTGTGCGTCCAACGTCGTGCTCAAGTGGCGCAAGTGGGCGGCGCAGGGGGCGTTGGTGAGGTTGTCGGCGGGGCTGACGGCGTTGGGGTTCTTGCCTGCTGTGCTGGGCATGGGCAGGGCGGGATGGGTTCTAGGGAGGGGTGGGTGGTTTGCCAAGGGTGAGGAGAAGGAAGGGAAGGAGAAGGTCGAGGACGTGGTGAAGGAGGAGAAGGAAAAAGCAGAGGTTTTCTCGGCTTCGGAACCCCCGCCGTTCCTACCCTTGCTTCCCTACGCGCTCCTGACATCGGCGATGTCGTTCTTCCTGTTTTCGTTCCAGGTGCATGAGAAGACGATCCTCGTCCCGCTCTTGCCGATGACGCTCCTGCTCTCTGGTGCCCCAGTCGACTCGCCAGTGTATGAGTGGGGCATGTTGGCGAATAATATTGGCGTTTTTAGGTGGGTACAAGTTGACGAAATTTCCTTACGATGCTGATGGGCTTTAGTATGTGGCCGTTGTTGAAGAGGGATGGACTCGGTGTGCAGTATATTGCGCTGTTGGCATTGTGGAATAGGGTGGTGGGGCATCATCCCGTGAGGATGCCAAAATCGTTTGTCCAACTGCTGTCTACCGTTAGTTTCCATCCATTTCCTTTTATTTACGAGAGGTTCTGAACAATTTTCATTTCGTTGTATTTCAGGTCGTCTACATCGCCGCCTTCTCTCTACACCTCCTCGAGCTCGTCGCAAATCCACCACAACGATACCCCGACCTATATCCAGTGCTAAACGTATTAATTAGCACCCCTGTATTCGTGCTCGTGTGGCTGTGGAGTATTAAATGCGGGGTGGAAGTGGGGTGGGCGCTTGGTGGCTGGGGCGGCAGTAGCAACAGCAGCAGGACCCTAACGCGGAGCGGGGTACAGCACGGAGAGCGGAAGGTCTCGGAGGATACCAGTGGGGTGGCAGCTGGAGGACCCGGATCAGCGAGTGTCAGTGTCAGTGGCGGGAGTGAGGCGAGTGCACCAGGGCTGGTGAGTTATCGGCAAGCGGGTGGGCGGGCGGTGAGTCTGGGGTACGCGCAGGCGAAGAGGCGGACGGCGCGTAGGGGATCCATTGTGCTTAGTACAGGGGGAGAGGAGTAGGAATATTTATAACCTAATGCAAGAGACGGTGAAGATCGACACAGACCGTGAAAGTTCATGTCACATTGGAACACCCCAAAAATACTTGTTATTTTCCGTCCAAAACAGGGGACCTAACAAGCGGGAAACTGGAAGAGTAAATCCCTGGAATTTCTTTTTCAAAAAGAGAAAGCAGGTTTTGGCCTATAACGTAGTGAGGTACGAGCGTAGGGTTAGGGTGCGGTCTATGCATCAGCGGTGGCAGTGTTAGGTGAGGAGAACCTCTTTCTCCTCGACTGCCACCTGCTGCCCACGCTGAGAGCAGTCCAGCGTTGCGGGCTTTTCTTTTCTCATCGTATCTACCAACACGCGCTGTATCTCTGCTGTTCACTCTACCTAAAGCAACTTCAGGCCACACATGCCGCCACGTATCACACAAGACCCGCACTTGGTGCAACCCCCCGACTTCGAGTCGGAACAATTCCGGGCGCTTTACGCCACCTTAGCCACCGCCGAGCGCACAGTGGACGCTATCATAGCCGACTCCCAAAATGCTTGGACCCAGAACAACGACGCGCAAAGAGTCGCGTGGAACGCCCAGGTCGAGCAAGACCACGCAGAAGAAGAGGAAGCTAGGGCAGCTCAGGAGCAAGCAAAGCAAGAGGCCGCCGAAGCTGAGAAGCGTGAGAGGGAGAACAAACGGCCCAAGATAAAATCCTTCACCCCGAACAAGACGGTCGGGAAGTTGTCATCTCGTCGACCTTCCCGCTATGCGATCCACAAGATCGAACAACTCGAGTACGTTGAGCTCTACTATTTCACCAAGGAGGCCTGTCTTGAGGCCGAGAGGACGGAATACTCAGTGGCGAGGGGCACCTTCACCCTGATGGCTGACGGAGAGAACGTGCTGGCAAAACCCGCCGCTGCGTACAAGCCATCCACAAAGGTCGTCCAGGATGAGAACCTCGAATGGCGCCAAATCATCAAGGCGAAGGACTACATGCTGGAGGCCATGGTGGACGCAGGCTGGCCCGAGGAACACGTCATGGCCCTTGGTGTATTCTTTCTCGAGCTCGACAAGCACCCAATCAGCGACCTAGAGGGGGGAGAAACCGCTGTTCTACTGTACCAGGCGC